AATCATTTACTATAGACAGGATTATTTCCCCACTATATTCCACCCCCCACCCCCCACCTCCCACCCTTACCCCCGTTAAATTGCTAGACCTGCAGCCTGTAAATGTTCAGGAATTTGCAGGCTTCTGCACCTTTAAACGTTCATATTGAGGAAGACAAAAATAGGCAGATGCTTGCTCTTTAAGTAGTTGCATAGCTATTTCACACTTACCCAACATTCCCATCCCTAGCATAAAAGCGTCCATGGTATACGGTAATCCTCGCGCCCTTCCTCTTGTCCCTGGTGGAAACATCACTTCTTTAGGTTGTGCTTTCTTACATTCTACCTATTGAGCAGAAACATGTACAAATGAGATGCAAATGAATTCCATGTAAATGTCAAATGCAGAACCAATCTAGTTAAGGGGGAAACAATTATTTTTAGCTTCCCCCTCCCCAAAGGTGAGTTTTAAAAATAGCGTAAACGGATTTCAAAAAAAAAAAAAAATGGGCATGTCTCTCTCAAACACACAGAGCAAAACTCAGTTCAGATGATCAAATGCAGACTTCAATCGGTTGTCGTGCTCCAGACATGAAAACCTACACTGTTTGCTCTCAAATGATACTTTGCAGGCGTGGAATGGATGGAGGGGAAAAGAAAAAAAAAAACGTTAAAAAAATAAAATAAAATCAGCAGCCTCGGTCCATTGCGAGCGTTAACAGAAAATGATTATTGGTGATACAAGTCCAACGATCTCCATTTTAAATGGGAGCACAGAGTCGATGCTTCTACCCGGCAGAAGTTTTGGCAACTCCTGCCAATAAGCAACCTGCATGTCTCTCACTTCCCCTTGCCCCTGCTGCCTTTTGAAATGACTTACTGCCGTTTTAATCACATTACAGGTCTCTAATGCCATGCAAGGAACTTGCCATCACGAGCGCAAGGAGAGGACAGTAGCACTTGGATCACAGGAGCTCCACAACGGGGTCCTGTATCCTGCACCCAGACAGCCCGAGTCTGGTTTAATGGGTGCAGCACTGGGCAGGGAAGCAGTTTAGCTAGTCACGGATTTGCTCTACAGACTAAAAATTCACAGTTCCTCGCGCTATAAGGCTGGGAGCCTCGTCGCTGATTAAGGCAAATAATGAGGGGGCCGATGTTTTGATCAGGAAGCAAACACACCTCTGCCTCCTACCTGCACCGAGGAAGCTCAGAAAGCAGCTCTGCTCATCTTCTGCAGATTGGCCGCATTTATTTTAAGCAGGGGAACATCCCCTCCGTGAACCCGTTGCTCAAACAAGCCGGCAAAGGTGGTTTGCACTGCCTATGTGCAAACAGGTAATTACCCCAGACAAAAACCAGGGAGGTAGAATAATACGGCTAAATGTCTCTGTTCCTAATAGCCCTATCAGTGACTGCGTATTCATTGTCTTATGAAAACCACCCGCCTGTTCCTAGGCAACCTGATCAGTGAAAATTTCAGGTTTATACAATTTTCATTTAGGTAACATAAAGGTTAACTGACTGTAATGGGAGTATTTTAAACAAAACCACCTACTCCTTCCCTTTCTGCTGGAAGCCTCATGGCAGATCTTATTTACTTTGTTTGCTCGCAACACTTCACAAAGCAGCAATGCTCAGATTCTGCCAGCAACGTTGTCAAAACATTCACTTCTTGCAAACAGGCTGCCACGATCCGTCGCCGCTCGGAGTGAAGTACTTTGAGACTTCTGCTACCGCTTTGCTGATGTGCGCCGGGGTCAGCGGTTAACGCCGGGAGACGGGCAAGGAGGGCAGAAACCGGCAGAGGGGCTGCAGAGTCTCCCGATGACGGGACGGGAGCCTTTGGGCTTCGCACATCCTCGGCTGCGCAAGGAGGACACAGCGTGGCTACCACCCAGGTGTGCTTGGCTATGAATTAACATTTGCTAATCGCTTTGCGGTCCTCAGATGCCTCCCGTGACAAAGGGAGAGCACAGGGGCTGTCTGGGGCGGATGCCAACGTGTAGGCAACTGCTGCGACAAGAAGATTGGGGGAATAGACCGAAGAGGCCTGGTAGACAAGACTCGCTCTCTGCCCATCGTGGGAGCTCAGGCGTGGCCGGGACACTGTCAGCAGGTTTCCTCCAACAGCCGTGGCAGCAACAGCGAGTCCTTGTGCAAGCAGCACATCACGGGCAGAAGGAGAGGCAAGCGAACCACTTCTGAATGGCTCCGGTCTTAGGTCTTCCACCAACCTGCTGTCGAGAGCGGTGCAGAAAGGGATGAGGAGACCCGCTAACAACCAGCGCGCACCCCTGCCCGCAACGTTAATGCAACCGCTGTCCCGGCCTGACCTAAGACCATTGCAGCAGCCTTTAGACAGACCACGAAAGGAGCAAGAGGAACTGGCAGTCAATGCATACAGTCATTCAGTCCAGCAGAGATCTGGGCCTCCAACATGTGTCCCACGCTCGAGAACATGAGCCCACCTGCTCGGGCGGGTAAAAACGGCGCTGGGAGTTGCACCTGCTTTTGGGACAGCCTCCTTGATGCTGCTTCACCCCGGTTCACGCCACCGTCAACTTCCCTTTCAGTTTATAAGCATCTATTTTTCACAGAGACCTGAGGTCCAACCTCTCTCCTCCCTTCACAATTCAAGTGAAGATCGGCAGAAACCAAATCGATCTTCATTTATGTAATGGGAGCTCCTACAGGCTGTGGCTCCGCTGGACGAACCCCCGTGCAGAGGAGCTCACGATCGGAGTCTAAGGTTATGGGCAACGGGGGGATTAAGGAACAGGGAAAACAATGACATGACACTGGTCATCGTGGAAACCAGTGGTCACAGCAAGCTAGCTGCTGAGGGTTTATTTGCTTTTGGGTTTTTTGGGGTAGATATTTTGCTAGAAGAGAGCTTTTGGGTTGGGTTGAAGGTGAACACTGCAATGAGGAGCTAACGTTTACACGGGTGCTACCCCCTGGCAAAAACCCTCCAGTGACTTAAGCCTATGAACCCAGTATAGCAGGTTTCCAAAGGCGCACAAGTTTCCACAGCCCTTATGGAAACCCCAAAGCCCCAGGTGGATGCACACACTACTTCGTCCTGCCCTCCCATCACCCTGTAAGAGCAAAACATCTGTAAAGTAGCCTCAAAGTGTCCAATGCAACCCCAATTTCCTGGGTGCTCTCTCTAGGCCAGGGGCTGGCAACCTACAGCTCGTGGCCCTTGGAGGGGCTGAATCTCTCTGGCAGCTGGGGCAGAAATAGTGGTGCCAGGTGGGTTGCGGGCTGCACCCCACATTATTAAAAGGTGGCCGACCCCTGCTCAGGGCACCAAACGAAAGAGTCCGGCAAAACCCTCTGCAACTTCCCTCGACTTATTTTTAATCAGAGGGATATTTATCAGGAGTATGCCCAATTCAATTTCTCCAGGCAAATTAAAGTGGCCTGATCAGCAGAAGTGTATCATTTCATTTCTCAGCCGTCTTCTTCGAGTTCACCGCTGCTCCAAATGTCACGGCGTCATTGGTTACACCTCAGAGCAGTTTTCATTGCAAATATGCGGTATGATACAAAGCAATCTAGCCTGGCTCGATGGACAATTAACAGGAAAATGAAGTTTGGATTAGCACGGTTAGAAACAATAACCCAGTAATTAGCTTTCGCAACCACAAAACAGACTACCGCTGGCAGCAGAAAGACTAGCGTAATTTATGATTTTCACAGCGCGCAGGGACATAAAGAAAACGTTCGGAAGCGGCAAGGAAGTTTTAACTTGGAATTCAAAAAAATTGCAAAGGAAAAAAGTAGAGGGAAAGCAAAAGCGCAGCTGAAATCTTGTAACACCAGCAAAGGCACCCCGCGCACACACACTTTATAAACGAGGCTCAAGCAGATCATTAGCGGGACAGGAAACAGAAGCCTAGGCTCTCATCTCCTAACTTCATGCCTTGCTTGGGGAGAGAGTCTAGTTTCCAAGACATTTCTAATCCTCGGCCTCTGTGCCGAGATGGGCTCGTCATTGCCAACTCCGTGTTGGCACGGCCAACAGCTCGTGGTCCATGGAGACGTGGGCCAGAATAAGACTCCTTTGGAGACTGCTCCAAGAGCTGGAAAGTTAGTGACCCCGCGCTTCCTGACGCAGCCAACGAGTCAGGCTGGGAGAAAATACAAACCAGTTTGATCTCGGCAAAACTCAAAGGAAACAATGGAGTCCCAGTAAGACCACGCGAGGATGCGGTGCGGGACAGCGTACTGAAGTGGGAACGCAATGGACGCAATGGAAATCTCGCACGTTGCAATGTTAGACCGTAGGTCGAGGGGGGGATACCACCAGCAGCCTGGCTAGTGTAGGCCACCAGCACATAAATCGGGGTACTGGACATATTTCTCCTTCCAGCACTGCTGGTCGCCTTAATAATCTCCAGATCCCTGCATCTACAGAAGTACCCGAGGGATGCTCTTCAGCTTCAGTCGCCCAACAAAGAAAGTTTTAAATCTAAGGCAACACACACACACGCACGCACGCACGCACGCACGCACACCCCCCCCCCGGAAAAGAAAATGGCCGAGGCTAAAA